GATTAGTGCTGGGTCCAGTGGTTTGGCTTGATGCCCTCTCTGGGCCTTACCTGTTCCTCCAGTAATGATATTTCTTATACTGTACTGCTCTTGAGCTGATAAATTGATGCCGTCCTTCTGATTAAATACTGCTGCTGCCTGGCACTACCATCCATTTTCCTGTTACGATACACTTTTGGACTTTGTTGTCTGTAGTATTATTTACATACCACTGTGGTCCTCTGTCCAGGACAGAAGTTCTAATTCTACCAACAATAATTTTTATTGACTTCCCTAGTGTTGATCATTGCTCAATTTTTAGAATTATTTGTTCTTATAATAGGTTTCCAGCAAATTAATATTGGCTTCATAATAATAATCAGGGTCTTCTTGTTTCAGTGTTGTTTATAGATCCTTCATTCCTGGTACAGTCCTTACCTGTGACCTGGAAATTTTACCATCCACTCTCAGAAATTACCTGTCTTATGCCCCTGTCTGTTATAAAGTAATATGACAGACTAAATTCCATTAATGGCCTAATGCCAGTAACTCCTTAAATTTGTAGCATTCTAAAATGTATTTGGGCGCTAACAGGGATGGACTTTCCATGGCATAATTTCAGAATGTTGCGGAGTCAGCAGAACAGCCCCCTAACTTGTTTCCATCTTTCATATTGCCACCTTCAGTTTTTCCCAATGCAATAATCATATGATTTGCCAAAATATGAGTCAGATCATATTAATATTATATTCAAAACCCCTAAAGATTCATATCTGTTAGTTAGGTTCTTGTTGCTATGACCAAAATACTTGACATAAACGACTTAAAAGAGGGAAGATTTATTTTGGGTCATCTCATGTTTTCAGAAAATGCAGAAATCTCATGATGGAGGATGTGGTGAGCAAAGCTGCTCATCTTGTGCTGCTAAGAAGGGGGGAGAGGCACAGGAAGGGGCTAGGGATAGATATAGTCCTCAGGGCCACATCCCCAGTGACTTACTTCCTCTGGTCATTCCCCACCTGCCTAGGGTTACCACCCAGTAATTTATTCAAATAAATAATAATCCATCAAGTCGACTGATGCTGTTACATTCCCCACTATTCAATCATTTCACCTCTGAATATTGCTGCATTGCCTAACACATGAGCTTTTGGGGGGACAGTCCAGATCCAAACCATAGCAATATCCCACATGTAAAAGCTAACTTAGAATGTTTTATACAGCCTTGGTTTCCAAATCACACTTGAACATGCATGTGAATCATGTTCAGATTTTGTCAAATGAGATCCACATTCAGAATGGTGGTGGTAGTGGCTTAAGAGTCTGCACTTCTAAAAAGCCCTCAGGAAATACTGATGCTGCTAGTTCATAGGTCCACAATTTGAGGAGTAAGTCCCTACATGAGTTGTATCCTCTTTACATTCTAACCCTTCACTTCTCTGAGCTTCTAATATTTCTGATATTATCCCTTAAAGCTAATCCACACTGGCCTCCTTTATGGTCTTGGAACATTCTGGAATGCTCCCACCTTAAGGCCTTTGCACTAGCTGACTCTCTGTCTGGAAGCATTTTCAATCAGATATCCTATACTCCACCTGTTGCCCCTGCCCCTTTACTTCAAGTTTTTGTTCAAATCTCACTTTTTCAGTGAAACCTTCATTGGTCACTGATCTAATAAATCAGAGCATTCTGCTACTCCATATTCTCTACCTCCCTCTTCCATTGTACCTTTTCTCCTTAATACTTCTCACTACTGAAGGTATAACATCCTTTACTTACTTTGCTTAGTGTCTGCCACGCTGGTTAGAATGCACACTCTATGAAGGCATTTGTTTACATTTCTCTTCACCCCAGTGACTAACCCCTAACACATAGAAGATGCTTGGTAAATAATTGTTGAATGTCTGGAAAAAATTCTGTTACATTATTTGAATCATAACTTTTTCTATTTATGCAAAAGGTCCTAGGCAGAGCAAGACAGAAACAAATTTGTTGTAGTTTAATTAGTATTGTTCAGTGCAGGCGAATGTCTCACAAGAATAGTAAGTCAGAACTTGTCTACTTAATGCTCATTTATACAGATTTTCTTGGTACCAGTGGAACAAGAATGTTAGATGGAATCAGGACCCATCTTTAAGTAAGAGAAACTTAATGAGACTAGTAACACAATTAAAAACAAACACAGCCTGCACATTATTAATGAGATCTCTTTCAAGTTATAGATCATGAGGACTGTGTTTCACAGTGATGCAGGTTTTCCTGGAAGGCAGTTACTGGATATGTGGATTCTTATCAAAGATACTGTAGAATAAGTTTGGCCTTTTGTGGAATGTTGACCTAGAAGACCTCTGAAGTCTTTTCTGTCTGCACAAATTAGAAATCAATAATAGAGAACAGGAAGCTGCTTTGTGAGGTGTGCAATTTGAGTTGCTCGAAGAATCCACAGTCACACTTCACGTTAGAGTTCTCGATTTCATGAACCTCCAGTGAGAATAGCAGGTTAGGAGGTTATTGTATGTTTGTTGGTTGATTTTGTTTTTTTAATTTTGAAGCTGGTCAAACCTTGCAAACTGAACCAAAGTACATTTCATTATTGTGACCTATTCTCTGCCCAAACAATTTTCAGCTGCCTCTGCCTGGGGTGAAGAAATATATAATACAAACAAATTTCACTGAGATATTTTCTGTTAAATGTGTAAAGGCATTCTTTACCAGACTGCTAGTAAATCAGGAAACAGAAGAAATATGGTAAAATAAATATTTGAGGCCTTGATTTTTTAGTTTTAAACTTATTAGCCCTTTTTATCAGCATATTATCAGGAGATAAAAATTGTTCTCCACTTCTTTCACTGCATTTTCTTTTTTATTATGTCATAATTTCAAGTTAACATTAGGAAGTATTGAGCAATAAAGCTTTGTAGTTACCAATCTCTCATAAATACATTTTCTAAGGTAATCTTCAGGACCATCTGATGAAAGGTTTATGGCTCTAATTATACTGTTTTATTAAATTATACATATATTACCTTAATTAACTTTGACAAAAATGGGAGAATTAGGAATTCTTATCTATTATGAAACTCTGAAGGTCTAGGCACTACCTAGCTAGTCATGTGTACACATTTTATTTAAAAAAAAATGAGCTAGATTCAAAGTCAGGTTGATGTGCTTGCAAATCTCATGTTTTTAAAAATTTTATAGTATTTATCACAATTTTAAACATTTTATTTATTCACACTTCACTTCCCTTTTTTTTTCCTTACAGACTCTATTTCATGAATCTAGTGCCTATTTCTCTGTTGCTGAATTTATCTCCAGTTCCTAGATCAGTGTTTGGTATATAATTGGTACTTCATAAATATTTAATGAATGAACAAATTAATGAATGAGTGACTATGTACATTTTCAAAAAATATTTAGGTAGCCTATAGCTATCTAGTAAAAGAAAAGAAAACGAAATATCTCTGGAATGATACTGTATAGAAAGAGATTGTTAGGCATGGGGAGATTTGGCTTCTAAAATGAAATTGAAATATAAAATTTGAATTTTTATCTATACTAATCCTTAAGGAGAAATTTTCTTTTTAACATTAGACAATATAATGAAAACAAAACAAAACAAAACAAAAAAAACCAAAAACTTTCCCCTAAACCATTTAGCCTTCTCATTTTAGAGTTGAAATTCATCTATATCCTAAAATGTCTTCCTTCTTTCTCTTACCCCCGATACATGTGTTCATTCACCCACCAGATCCACCTCTCCTACTTTCCTCCCTACTAAGGACACCCTGTGAACTTCCTGGAGCCAATGTTCCTCATTAGAAAAAAAAAAGAAAGAAAGAAATTTTAGGGTAAATGCATGGCCCCTGGGAAACTGGGATTCTTATAATGAGGGCAAAGGACTTAGAGGCCATTGCTAACAGAATATTCACTGATTATAGAATATCCACTTCCTTAAAGGCATTGTTAGTTCTTAGAGGTTTACCTTAGCATTGTCACTTCTCAATATAATGACATCAATGTGGTGACTCTAGTGGAGACAGTGGTAAGCAGATAAGGGGCATCACATGGAAGGCTGAGAGCAATGCTGGAGCCTATGGCTGGGGAATTTTAATAGTTAAAATATTCTCTCGTATAACATCTTCCTTCTGAACAAGAAACTTAGACTAGGGGTCCAATTATTCTGCTGCACAAGATCACAGAGGGAATATGCACAGCATCATTGCTGCCATTTTGACATTCATTCATTCACTCACTCATTCATTCATTCCATAATTCTTTGTTGAATGGGGATCACATTGACTTTCAATAGGTTAGCTCCTGGACACAATTTTAAACAAAAACCATTCAGTTCTCACACAGAGATTGCTAGGGCCTGAACTGCTTTAGTATTCATGTAAAGAAACTATGGTCCAGAATAAAAACTAGCTTGTTCAAAAAAGGTGAAAAGCCTTTCTAAGCTTTTTTTTTTTCCTGGTCTATTATTTCTAAATAACGCTTATAGAAATATAAGATGTATAGAAAGATTTTTCACACTCAGAAATAGAAACTGACATTTATAGGCATGCTATTTGTTGACAAGATTAAATTTTGCTTTGAAATAGCTTCACATAATCACAAGATAAAGTTTTAATCTAAAAACAAATGCAATGTAGAAAATACCCTGAGTCATTTAAAAGAATTGTATAAACTGAATGATATATGGAAAGGAATTTGTAAAAACTTTTTAGTCTTCATGTTTATAATTCCTTAATCCTTTTCAGAACAAAATACCAGCACATGTTTTTTTTAGTTTGGGAAGTCCATGGGAAATGGATTTGTTAAGACACTACAGAAGACTTTGAACTCCTCTCCTGATGCACTGAATTGTTTCAAAACCTTCTTTAAATCAACAGAAGCTACAATTTACCTGAAAATTCTATGTTAGAGTTAACAAAAAACAAGAAATAAATTTCTACTTAGCAATTCCAACATGGGAAATAACAATGTAAAGATTACTAGTGAAAAACCATGGCCAATACCTTTTGAATGCCTGCTTGGGACTCCAGGACATTGTTCTCTGATCCATTGCTTCGGTTGATCATACGCCACATTTGGGAGTACATGCTGTCCCTCTCAAAAGGATTCAATCCCTTCATGCGGACATGCTCATATACTGCAGAGTCCAGGACTGTGCCATAAGGGATGTCTGTTTGCTTGGAAAGGTCCTGAAGAGACCTTGATTATTTGGAGAAAAGAGAGACAGAGGACATAATGATTATTTTCAAGTGAAAGTAAAATTCAAAAAAGAAAAGGGCAATATATGAGAAGATAGAGTTTAAAAATTGTTTTGATTATTTTGTTGTCTCTTAATAGTGAGACAAAATGTATAAGGAGAACTGATGTTAGGATATATGTAGCAAATTATGAGATAAAACGGTCATTATTGAAGAAGAGGTGAAAATTTTTAGTGGTAATGCAGTACTGTTTTGGGAGACCATCACTGGGGAAATAGAAATCTAGTAAAATACCATTAAGATGATCACAAATTAAATTAGATTGCTATGTAATCATAAATAATTTAATAGTTAATTTTAAGTATAACCATTAGCCTATGTTCTTTTAGTTGGCAAGCCTTTAATATTTTTATACATTTTACATAAACAACATGTTTTTAAATAAATGTATGTTTAACAATTAGTATCGACAGTCATTATTTATGGAGTGGCTACTGCACATATCAGGCAATTGACATGTATTATCCTTATAGCAGTGCCTCATTTCAGAACTGTTTTCACCATGTTCTCAATGAGGAAACTTTTAGGTTGAGAAAATAAGTAATTTAGAATGCAAAATCAGGGAGGGTCAGAGCTAGGATTAAAATGTAGGTCTGTCTGCTTCTAAGGTCACAGTGTTTCAAATGAAAGATACTATTATTTCTGTATTTCTCTTGCAATATTTGCTGTTTTTTTGTATATGTGTGTGATTGATTGTGTGTGGTGTGTGTGTGTGTAGTAGACAGAGGGAGGGAGGAAGGGAAGGAGGGATGGAGAGGAATACTGACTTCTGTTTGTAGTAAAATAGGACAATTTTCATATTCCTAGAAGCAGAAGATGTTTTCAGCTTTCTTGGTTATGGGATAATGATCGAGGATTTTCAAATCCATCTTTGAGTTAGAGATGGTATTTATTTTTCTCAGGTTATCCATCTCTAGTTTGGTGGTCAGTTTCCTTAAATTTGGGTTACAGAGCCACTCTATAATTTCTGATTTGGAGAATCTGGTACTACTCCTTGGAATTCATTGAATTTGTGTTTGTGAACAACTTTAATGACTGACATTTAAGAATAAATGTGGCTTTGACATAGTGTTCAAAATCCAATGCTAGCATACTTCCAACTAACTTCTAAGAATGGGAGCAGATGTTTTGAAACACTATGCCATATTTTGAACGAGAAAAAATGCACCAGGTACTCCACAACATGAGCCATGAATTAAATGTAATGTATACTTCTGACCTTTGGTTTGTTTCTAAATGGAGTTAACTAATGATTTCCTGAGGGTCTTTAAAACCAACACTTGCATTGGACAAAGAATTGGGAATATTCTTAA